CCCCCAAATCAGATCATGCTGGATCCGTTCCTGTCACAAATTGAATAAATTCTTCCTGTTTTGTATTTTTTCACAAAAAATCTCATAGCTAGTTACGGGTCTGATATGCTCTGTATATAAACTCGTTTTCAGGGAGGTGAATAGGGGTATAGAAACCCATCGATCCACCCAAATTTGAAGTAAAATATGTGATCCGACAATGGTCTTGTCTAAATTTGAATGCGCTTAAAGCTTTACAATGAAGTCACAATACAGGATCCAAACTAAATTGCAAACAAAATATTAAATAAATCCGCAATCCACTGTATTAATTAACAAGATCCGAAATCCGTGTAAAATATTTGCTAGATCCAATATCCGAACAATTTTTTCTGTGAAATCCGACGATCCGAAAACCTATTCACTCCCCCCTTTCAATCTATAATTTAATTGACGTTTAATATTAAATGTATCACAAGTACTGTAAGGTTATAAATATCTCAAAATGAGTCATAGTGTTAGCTACTAAACTGCCCGCTCTCAATAAGTTTCACTTGGATTTCTCATGAAGTTGCATGAATTTTTTTTTCTTTCCCCAACTGCTTGCAGGATTTTTTTTCCTAGTCCGACTCCTTGTATGAATTTGTTTGGATCTGACACCCCCCCTCCCCCCCTCCCAGGATATCTAATGGTCCACCCCTAAAGAGGGTCTGTTGAGTAACTGCAGTACAAGATTTTTTGCTAGGCCTTATTATTGTTATTTTGTAGTCATATTGAGATAGAGGAGACTGGTGGAGAGGCAAGTACATCAACAGATGCAATGTATGCATCTTGGTTACTTGATGACACCACTGAATATACATGTGTTAGCAGTGGATCAGAGACAGAAGAGAAAATTATTGAAGAGCCAGCTGCTGCAGTTGAAGATAAGAAAAAGAGCCTTTAACGTACCAGCTAAATCGAGAACTGTCTGGAAAGAAGGTTGAGTAAGACAAGTCTGGGGACTTGTCTTACTCAACCTTCTTTCCAGACAGTTCTCGATTTAGTTGGTACATTAAAGCAAGTTAAATCTTTGGATGACATTCAGATGATTGCAAATGAAACTGCTCGATGGTTCCTTTTAGGAAGGGTTTGTTCATCTTTGGAACGTTTGAAAGATGGTTTAAATGTTCTTGATGTGCTTGGAGCAGTTTTTGAGAATCCTGATATATTTCGCCCTGTATTTTGTTATGTTTCTCAACCATTGACAGTTGATCTTCTCTCTTCTCTGTTTACAAATACTACTCGGGGTGAATTGGGATCAAATGCCCATGCCAAAGAGTCTTTAATACTTTTCTTCTGGAATGACTACCTCCAGGATGTCGAGGAACATACTGTTGATGTGAGTTTTAGAGATGTTTTTTTTTCACTGGATGCAAGGATGTCCCTCCTCTTGGTTTAGACATGTCTTTAGCTTTCTTACACAAGCCTGAAGGCAATGGTTTGTTGTCTAAATTTCCGAAGGCAAATACATGTTCATGCAAATTGTCTCTTCCAACTGTTCACACAAGCTATGACGAATTTAAAGATGCTATTACTTTCGCTCTTTTAAATACTAAAGGTTTTGATGAACCATGATTGAATTATTTCATTATACTAAATTATGTAACATACTCCACATTCCATATCGAGTTGTTAATATTATTTATTGGTTGTATTTGCATTCCTGTCAAAATTATTGTAAACATTTTAGCAAGATAAGACACAAGGCATGATGGTGCAACTCCACGCAGGACTGGTGGTCAAAAATGTTTTGTTAAAGTTATAAGTGCATCGTATTCTTTAAGGATGTCTTAATTATATAATAATATCCTTATAAAACAAGGTGACCACTTGAAGGTGTACTTTAAAATAAGGTTTTTGTGACTAATTGTGTGTAGAGACTGCTGCAGGCAATTTGCTAATTAGAAGAGGAATTATCTCCATGTTCTGAAAAATGAAAAATAACCTGACTGCACATCCTTAACCTGACTGCGTGTCGCTTTTTTTGTAACTTTTAATTCCTGTGATTTTTAAAGAATGGAAAATGATATGTGTTGTAAGAAATCTATTGTTGTATTCTAGTAAAACACGGATGGTACACTCTAAATTCTGAAGTGTTCAGCGAACACCAAATAGGTGTAAATTTACACTATTTCGGTGTAAATTGGTAAATTACACCTCGGAAGTGTAAAATTACACTTCGAGGTGTATTATTACACTGATATTGTGTTACCCCAACACTTATTTGGTGTAAAGTCGTATCTTAGGCTTTTAACACTTAATCGGTGTAAATTTACACCAGAAGTCGGTAACTTAACACTATTTAAGTGTATTAAAACACTACTTTGGTGTAAAGATGAGTATGACAATTTTGTCCTTAAATGGAACTTCAGCCTGCACAAAAATTGTTGACACCCATATTCTTATTAATTAATGTCAACCAGCTTTTGATGAAATCTTATACTTTAAAAATATCGACAAATGGTCCACCATGTGTGGAAAATATCATGGCATATCAGTTACCGCGTGTAACCATAGTTAATAGAACAGATGGTTTGGAAACTCATTAGAATAACAATATAACTCATTATCTATGTTAGTCAACGTTTATTCATAAATCTGGTCGTTCACCGTCAGGTGCGTATTGTATTTTTAACGAACAAACCAATAGCAATGTCTTAGGAAAGTTAGCTATCTGTGACTCGAACAATAGGGTAAATTGGAAATTGTTATTGGTGGATTTGGCAAAAATACAATACACACGTGACGGTGAAGGACCAGATTTATGAATAAACGTTGACTAACATAGATAAGGGAGCGGTCATTATTTATGGCAGGGGGTGGCACCGAAGAGAAAAGGGTTGGGTAAACAAAATTTTGAGTGAGTAAAAGGTTGGGTAAATGAAAAACGAAACAGCTCAAAGGTTGGGTAATAGAAATTTATTGTCATTTCCAAAGCATGACTCACTCAAATATTGAAGACTGAAAACTTCAATGTCAACAGTCATATGTCAATACAATATGTGAATCAATCAGAGTCACTATCTTCATCATTTTCCGATTTATTGAGAGACAAATGGTGTCTCCAAAGAAAGGAAATGTGCAGACAACATGAAACTTTAGACTGCAGAAAAGTCAGTAAATTTCACAAGCCGAACGTTATTAAACTCGTATCACAGTGGTAAAGGACATGTGTGACAACTGAATGACATCCTTTTGTAATGTTTTTGGCCAGGGGTGGGTATTTATTTTTTAAATGATACTTGAGGTTGGGTAATCAATTTTTTTATTTTTTAATGGTTGGGTCAGCAAAATTTTTGCCACGAAAAACATTTCTCTTCGGTGCCACCCCCCACCATAAATAATGACCGGTCCCTAATGAGTTATATTGTTATTCTAATGAGTTTCCAAACCATCTATTCTATTAACTATGGTGTAACATATGGCTTCGTGCAACTTGTCTTGCAACGTTTATAGCTTGGAGAGTTCCTATTGGCTCTCCCCAGTACACGCTTTACTCGCCGGATATCGTTCCATTATAAGAAAACATGGCATGGCGGCTTTTGCTGGAGAAATAATTGTGATCGAAACTAGTAATGTGGCAGAAGTTATAAATAATCCTGAAACAGAAATTTTATTTCCTGCATCTGAACAAGATGAAGTAGGTAGGTAGGGGATGGTAAAATAACCGATAAAATTAAGAAAAATATCATTGAAGCATTTAAAGAATATCCATGCCTGTGGAACACTATAGCCTTGTAGACTACAAAGTCAAGTTAAAGAAAGTCACAGCTTCTAGAGAATTAGCTTCTCGCTTTAACTTATCTGTAGAGGAAGTAAAAAAGTGCTTGCATAGCTTACGTACCTCGATGGGCAGGGAATTAAAGCGTCGTCAAGAACATGAAACATACGTGTCAAAATGGAAATTCTTCAAGGTTATGGAATATTTAAGTGATGAAATTATAAAGTCCTTTACCATAAATCAAGAAAAAGAATGGACAGAAGTTGAGATTGTTGTGGAATTTTACAAGGAAAACGAATATAAGCTCACCACATATACTAACGCTCACCTCATTCCAAATATATGCCCCCCCCCCGAATATACGCCCACCCGAATATAAGCCCCCCAAATATAAGTCAATAGGTTAGTCACATCATGTGTCTAGTTAATCAGACTGTAATCATAATCTGCCCATGTGTCTTGCACTAGCACCAGACAATTTTGCTATTCAAATGGAAAGCACTAGCACTTAATGGGTTAATTTAAGCCATCAAGTTGTCTTAAATTGAGAAATAAATATTTACCTCTACTACAAGGTGTAATTACCTTTATGTGTTATTTGGGATGTGATTTTTGTCTGAAAGTGTACAGTGAAGGTAAGGGACCGCTCATTATTTATTGTACAGGGGGGATTGAGGAGACACTGGGGGGCTATAAATTTTTTAATACCTGAAAGGGGGGCTTTGAAAAAATACAGAGAGATGAAAGAAGGGGGGGGGGCCTTTGAAAAGATTTACCAGTTTGAAAAAACAGTAGTTTTAAAAATGTATCACAAAACAACTTAACAACAAATAACAATAAGCCAAATAAAAAGTCTCTTATGTTCATATAAATAGACAATTCTCATTATAGACTAATTTTAGAACTAGGCAAGGAGATGCAAATCAAGGCCGAATATTGGTGAAAATAGTGGGGGGAGGTGGAAAAATTTTTAGGGGAGGTGCAGCGGTCTAGCTCACAACCCCCATGGAAAGTTAGGGCTTATTGTAGAACAGGCCAATATCAACGAGGTGAGGTATGCATGTAGTGTACATATGTACCAGTGTATTAACGAATTATGAATTTCAATTACAATTGCTACAAAGTTTCTTTCAAAACATTGCATTAAAAAGGTACTTGACAGAGAGATGAATGGCTATCATTGTTTCAATTTTACAGAGAAAACTTTCTTACGTCACGAAGTGTAGATCCTAAGCAACCGTCACATTTTCACTTTGTTCCATCATTGAAACTTTCCCAAGAGGAGGTGCATGATTTTTCAGGGGAGGTGCAAAACGATCTCAGGGGAGGTGCGCAGCTCTCCACACCTCCTCTCAAAATCCGGCCTTGATGCAAATAAATCACCACAGCTAGAATGAGCATACTAAAACAAGTAAATTATTGCAAAGTTTGGTTGCGAAATGTTGTAAAATACGGAAAATATAGTCTTGCAAAGTTTGCACATTTTGTATACTTTTGTATTGCATGCGAAAATTGCAATACAAAAGTATACAAAATTTGCAAACTTTGGAAGGCTATATATTTTCTACATTTCAGAACATTTCGCAACCAAACTTTGCAATTTTATTACTTTTAGTATGCCCTTCCCTGGAATATACTTTTTTTGCTAAGATAAAAAATTAGTCTATAATGGGAATTGTCTATTGGTCACCATTATCTATTTTTGTTTCTCTAAATAAAGAGCTAGAGTTTTTGTTTCTCTAAAAAAAGATAAAGAGCTAGGGGGGACCAAAATTTATGTTCTTGTTTTGCCTGGGGGGGGGTTGAAAATTTTGCTTGTCATAAGAGGGGGCAACGAAAGAAATTATAACTGTATAGATTTCTCCTCAGTCTCCCCCTGTACAATAAATAATGAGCAGTCCCTAAGTTCACCTTGTAGTAGAGGTAAATGAATTTTATTTCTCAATTTAAGACAATATTCCCATTTGGCAATTGTTTGACAAGGCAAATAGATATGTTTTCTAAAGACATATTATCTGGGCTTTATCTCAAATGTATCAGTTCAAATTCAGTATTGAAAAATGGCTTTCAAGCGTTCTGATTGGCTCCCTCAGCAATAACTCTGAGGCAATAGTTACTGCTTATTGCTTTCAAAACAAAATGGATCGAAATAGACA